GCACTCGAAGAGAGAGACGCAAGAGCACCTCTCAGCCCGCGTTTCCACCTTCCGATATGCTACACTGGTAGTCTTGTTGTGTGCACATATGCATCTTGCGGTCCCTCATTGCCCCTACAAATCGCTCAAGCAGGCATATCGAGAAACTCGATGCGGCAGGAGAGGTCTTCCCGATGTCAAATTGATCCATCATGGAAGCTTCACATGTACGACTGACGATCATGTCGTGGCACGGAAGATCTCCCCTGTCAATCTCCCTTCCCTTCCCTCCTCTTCCCGCACCGGAAAGCCTCCTCAGCCTCAGCCGCAACACGTCTTGAAGAAAAACTTTCCGCCACAAAAGGAGGATCCGACAATTGTGGCTGCTGCCCAAGCTGCCAAGCTAGAGAACCCGCAGCTCGCTCACTCACTCACTCACCCCCTCAATCCCTTACAAGACAATGGTAGTGAAGTAGTGAGTGAGCGAGTCGCTACCCGTCAAATCATCAATCAAAAAACCTGCCAGGGACAAATCATCGACTGGGCTGCGTCCAGTATTACCCAACATCGTGATGGATGAGGATAGCAAAACGGATATGTGACAGAGACGAGGCCTTCGGGAGGATTGGCGCGCGACGGCGGGGGTAAGGGGGGCGTGCGTTGATGATTGATCGTCCCCTGGATGTTCACAGATTCCCGTCTGCTGAGCAGCGGCTTGCCATCTGGGGTTACATGGGCTGTCTTCTTCCTCGTCGTCGTCTTCTTCTCGAATGTCGGGCCTGACTTGACCTTGGGGAAGATCGAGATAGCGCATCGACTCACAGTAGCGCGTTGTATGTATATGTGAATGGCGATGGCCGGGGAACATCGTGCCTATAGATTGCACATCACTCCATCTCGGACATTATATGGAAGCGTCACAAGGGATTTTCAAAAGTCATCTTACCATGAGAATGACCAGACAGCAGCCATCAAGTGATCAAGCAGGGAGGGCATAGTACCCTGGGCGTGAGCCAGCTGCTCATCCCTTTCGCGTCACAATCGCTCATTTGAGCTGATCCTCGTACAGTACATCCTCACGAGCTAGACTCCCGTTCTCGTCTGCAACGTTGGGCGTAGAGAGGTGCACATCTTCATCATGGCGATATGCACATGCGGCAGTTAGCACGACTGGAATGCAACAAACAGCAGCCCAACATCAAGACGACCACATCTTCCTCATCAGCACTCACCTGTTATTACTTCGCGCGCAGCCAGCAGCTTCTTTTCTCTTTCCTCACCGCGGATACGAAAATCGGTATGGCACACCCCCCCGAGAGTCCCGTAACGTACATGCATACATTGTATGCACGGGGGCCAGCCAAGCTTTCCAATCACGGGCCGCTCCAATTCACAGATCTCGATGAGAGCCCCCCTTTCCTTCGATGCCAGTCCACGACAGGCCAAGGCCCGGAGATCAGCCCGAATCCTCCGCGGTACAAGTCGTGGTCACTCTCCACAACCAGGCAGGTCGGTCGGTACCTTGAAACATAGACGCAAAGTACAACTTGCTCGGCACTGCGGCAGGTGTAAGAAGACAAGCAAGTACATGTGCGATCGAGATGAGCTTGTATGTACATACATACTCCTGGCCCCGTTTTGCACGGCTTCTATTGGGATCGGGCAGTTACCAGCAACCACACTGGCGGCACCGGGAAGATGCAGGTCAAAGCCAGGGGCCCAGCGTTGCGACTAATAGCAAAGAGGTGTCGTGTGGATAAGGGTGATGGCCATGATCGTGATGATTTTTCTGTTGTTGTTGGTCGCTGTGGGACTCGACCGTGCGCTCCGGACCCCTTAGCTGAAAAGAAGAACCGAGGGAAAGGGAAGAATCGAAGGGACCAGAAAAGAAGAAGAGATTGGAAGCAACAAGTCGTGACGCTGCCAACCAGTCAACGCTCTCCACCCAGCTTGAAGAAATAATTGAGGACGGGTCCTCCCAAGTGGGTAGACGAGTCCTGCAAAGGGCAGCATCTCGATCCCAACTTCATGCCCATTCCTTTGGCGCCCCATCGCGAGCGAATCCCCGAGACATGCATCCAAAGGAAATTCTCGAGCAGGAATAGGACGAGGGACCCAAAGGACCCTTTCATCTCGAAAACCCTGATTTTGAGATGCCCCGTATCCAAATCACAAGTCGGCGTCTGCCACAATCACTTGGGACGCGGAAAGCAGCATCAGCGGCAGCCGAAATACGAAACGAGTAATGATGGTCGCGTCTTCGTAGTCCCACGCCGCAGCCCCAGCAGCAGGAGGCGTGCACACGCCTTGCCCACAATTCAAAGGGAGCAATGCGTGGAGAAGGACGACAGAGTAGCACGGAATACGGAGTACTCCGAGACGACATGCACCGTCATAGTTCAAGGTTTCTGCACCTCTGGTGAGTGACGCATTTGGGTGAGCGTGAGCGATATCGAGCCAACTTAACACCATGTGGCGCAAAGCTGTCAGGAGGATCCTGATATATCATCCCAAGTCTTGCGTCTTTTTCTGGTGCGGTTTCCAAATGGGAGCCCTTCTTTTCTGGCCTGGAAACAAAAATTCCAAGAAGCGCAGCCGACCCGGGATCGATTTCTTGGAAATTCCATTGGGGAGGAAAAGGGGGGTGTAGGGGAAATCCTCTGTCTTATCTTGCTTGAGAGATGGTGCTGTCGATCACAGACAGGGCATTGGCGCGAAGTGACAGCTGGTGGTGGCCTGGTCGTCTATTCGATATCCAATAGGACCTGCTCTGCTGGCGACACGTCCTGTCTGCTGCTGCAACCCGTCTCGAGGGCATGGCCGTGTTGAAAACGGGTTTGGTCGCTTGGATGGGAGCGTGATTGTGCTCGGCGCGAAAAAAGAAGAGCTTCCAGCTTCTGTCGCCCTCGTATCGAAACTCTGTACGCTTGCGTCGGTGTCGTGGTCGCTGAGCTGAACCGAAACTCTGATCGCTTCGCATATCAATCACCAACTCCGCACGAAGCAGCCACAGCTCCAGAGGCTGACACAGCCGCATGCAGCCAGCAACGAGGTCCCATGGTGTCGTCGTCCCTTGTCCGTACCCCCCCGGCCCGAAATTCATGGTCCTTGCCTTGTCCCTGTGGCATCTCATTAGCTTCCTCTCCCCTCACCAAACCCCTCGTCCACGCACAGAACAAGGCCACACGCACGCCCACCTCATCAGCCCGAGACAAGCTTTTTTTCCTCTTCTTCATCTTCTTCTTCCCTCCTCTTCCACCACTCCCCCCTTCGCAAGACCCATGTGGGGTCAGGCGGAGCGACGCCCAGGGCTTTTGGTGTCTGGGGGAAGGTCAAACGGTCAAGCGGCTTTTCCTATTTTCTGCTGGCCCCTTCACGCTGGGACCACCGACTTTTTTTTTTTTTTTTTTCTTCTCCCTCTCTCTGCCTTTTAGCGATCCCTCCGCAAAAGCTGAGATCCTCGCAGCCCATGCGCGGCGTGGAGAGCGAAACAACGGGGCGTGGAAAAGCTTGGGTGATCGACGGAGCTGGCTAGGTCAAGGGAACGTCATCACTTTTGTGAATGAGGGACCTTTTTTTCCGTTTCCTCCAAAGGGGGCCGCTTTTGTCCCTACTTTTCGCAACGATAGTTTTCTCTGCTTTCTTCTTGTTCTTTTCTTCTTCTTTTGGTTCGCAGGTTCAACCCTTGCTCGTCGTACAGACCCGTCCGCACGCCCTTGAAGTTCTGCAGGCTAGGCCATTTCGTTTCGTCCCTCCCATGCTGAGATGCCAAATCCGTGCTGCAGCAAATGTAGGAACCTTGGGAAGAAAAGGCCCGTAAGCAAGTAGAAGTAGGATGACTTGTACCTGTCAACAAAGATGAAGCAAAAGAGTCGAACCCTGGCCCTAATGCATGCAAAGGGCTGACACCGGCCCGGAGATTGAAAGGGGATACCGAGAAGCAGACGAGAGGGACAATGAAGAATAAAAAATGAACGTGTCTAGTATATCAGTCGCTAAAACGAGCCGGTTTGCAAACTTCTGCAATATCGTGGCTTCCCCGGCTCAGGGCTCTTGCTTGGAACGAAGAGCTAGTATGAGAAGGAGGGCGGGAAGGTTTGGAGGCGCATCGTCTTAGTAAATACTGGTACTAGTTCGCCAGGCAGCAGGCAGGAAGGAAGGAGCAATGCGGAGTCTCTACCCGTCGTCGTCTCGTAAGATGCCTCGTGCTTCGTGCTCCGTACCTACCCTAGGCTGAGAACGATGGGGAAGACGGAAAGCGCGGTGGGCCGCAATGCAAGAACAAACTCTAGGCTTGCATATGCCAAAGACCTCCGTCTCTCTTTGCCTCTCGTACAAGTACTCTTTCTTGTCAAGTACAGCGAATCACATTAGTACCTTCCAAGGCATATAGGAGGTAGGATGTATCAGTCGCTCCTACGGGTCTAGGTAAGGCATCATGAAGAGTATCAAGTGAATAAGGGCAAGATGCCCGTTGCTGCCGTCATGACCAGGTACTCTTGGTGCCCTGAGTGAGTATCGTCTATAAGGGTACCTCTGTAGCAATTGGTAGGTACCTTATAAAGGCCGGCGAGTGCAGATGAGCGAGGACCTTTAACAGATGCAAGCCACAGGCTAGCCGTGCCTGGCAATGATCGGCTATGTCGTCGTCGTCTCTCTTATCTTTCCCCTCCTCTGGCCATTCCAGGTACTATCGTATCATCAAGCTGCTGGTGCTGGCTGTTCCTCCCCTTGAGCCCTGAGATCTCTCTCCGTCTCGTCTCCCCAGAGCAATCGAGCTGACATAGCCTATCGTTCGGTTCCAATTGACCGTCGTTCGATCTTCAGGCATCAGAGCATCGTGTTCTGATACGCACATCATACGGTATTGCAGCAAATCCCTGTTCGTAGCTCGTGTGTTGGTCTTAGTGCAGCTGTACATGCTTGCGGTACTTGTAAGCACCGTACCTCGCCTCATTGAAGCTAGTAGCATCATCCCCAGACCTGCGTGTGCCGCTTCCCCAACTGCGGAACTGCGGAACATGTACGAGGATGCTTCTCCTTCAACTGGACTAGGGCAGTACTCGTCAGCCTCTCATGTCGGCGCCGCTTCGTCAAGTGCCCCTACAGTACCGTAAAAACTCGCGAAATTCGCAATCTTAGATCTTAGAACTAGAGGCCTGGCCCTATAAGTTATCTTTTTATAGTAACACACCTTTTTATTATAGGATAAATAAATAAAAGTATCTTTATAAGCCAGTATATTATTTAAGTAAATTTTTCTTATATTATTAATAGCTGCAGTAAGAAAGTAAGCGCACTATAATATTAAAAAATACTATATTATAATATTAATATACTAAAAATTAGCCTTAAAATACTACTATTAAAAGAAATTAGCTATAATATCTTTTAGTAGTATTTTTAATTTAGTTTAAAGCTAGTAAAAGCCTTAAAAAAATAATATTATTAGCTAAATTAAATTTAATATATTAAATATATATTTTTTAAGAAGAAAAAGTTTAGTATTATTTTATTTTTTATTTATTATTATATTCTTACTAACTAATACTTATATAAATTAAAAAAAAAGCATAAATTTTAAAAAAATTAATAAATTTAATATTTTATAGCCTTTTATTTTTTTAAAAGCTTTAAAATAATTCTAAATTACCTTAAATACTATTACTATTTAGTAAAAAAATTAAGATTTTATTTTATAAGGTAAAACACTTATTTTTTACTTTATATAGCTAGCTTTAAAAAAAGTATTATTTAAAGCTTTTATTAAGTATTATAAGGCTGGCTATATTATAATAATATAATAGTTTTAAGTAAAATTATAAGATATTTTTATATAGCTATATTTTAAATATAAAAAAATATTTATATTTTTTAATAGCTAGTAAGCTAGGTTTAAGTATTATTATAATATAATATACTACTAGGTTATTAAATAAGCTATATAATAGCTAAAAAAAGCTATTACTATAGTAAATAGCTTTTTAAAATTTATTTAGTATATATTAAATATAAAAAAATATATAAAGCTTAACTAAATACTTAATTTTATTTTACTAATTTACTACTTTAAAAAAAGCTAAATTATTAACCTTAATAAAATGCTAATTTTATTTAAGTACTTTAATAGCTATATATATAACTACCTTAAAGCTTATATTATTACTAGTAAGTTTAATTATTTAAAGTAAAATAAGTAGTAAGTAATACTAATATTATATATTTATATTAATAAAAAGTAAAAGATTAAGCTAAAGTTAATTTTTTATAATTAGCTGCCTTTAATAAATATAATATATTATAATAAGTATTATTTTTACTTTTTAAAAATAACTATTAAGTTTAATAAAACTATATATAATAATAAGGCATTATTTTTAAAGTAAATTATTAAGGAATTTAGCTATTATAATTTTAATTAAGACTAACTTTTTATAATAAATATTATAAGCTTTTATAAAATAAGCCTTATTTTATAAAAGCTATATAATTAAAATATTATTACTGCCCTTATTCTGCTTAATATAACTAGCTAACTTTAACTTTTTAATACTGCTATTAATAAACCTTTTAAGAATTAGCTATATAAGGCTATAGCTAAATATACCTTTAAATATAAAGCTAAAGGTAAAATTAAGTAAACTACTTATAATAAATATATTATAATAATATTTATTATTACTATTATTATTAAATACTTATAAAATAACCTATAACTTATTAAAAAAGCTTTTATTAAGTATAGAATTAGTATTAGGCTTAATAATAGCTAGGATTATAAAATTAAAATTAAAAATATTAAATTAAATAATTTTAACTTTATAAATTAAGAAAATATAACTAATATCTTAATTAAAGCTAAGGAGATTATTAATATACTTTATAATAATAAGGAAATAATTATAAAAGGTAAGGAGGCTATATTATTTATATATAATATAGCTATACTAAAAGCTTTAAAGGTTATAAAAGGCTATAAGCCTTAGGTTCTATATATTAGCCTTATAGTATATATAGTATATTAGCCTTACTTAGTTAGTTAGTTTATAAGTATAAAAGCCTATCTCTTTATATAATAGTAAATAAAGGAATTAACCTTTTTATACTATCTATTAGTATACTAAGTAGTAGTAATTACAGACCTTAATTTATGCTTATTACTATTTTAATTTTCTTACTAAAAGTCTACTAGTAATTACTACTAAAATAAATAGTTAGGTTATTTATTACTAATTTCCTTTATTTAGTTTCTTTATATATATATATTAAACTTTATTATATTATTTTTATTTATTCTATAACTAGTTATTTCTTATAATCTATTCCTATAGTTCTTTAAATTAGCTCCTCTACCTATTTTAAAAACTATAATGCATATAGTGTTAAAGCAGCTTTATTATATAAGCTGTTAGATATTATTATTTCTTAAAAGCAGCTATTTATATATAACCTACTTAATAAAAGATAATATAGTCTTCCTTACTTATATTATTAATATTATATTACTTAGCAAGTTACTTACCTTTTACCCTCTTAATTAGGTTAATAGCAGATATGCCTTTTATAATTTTTAGTAGTTTATTTAGCACTAGTAATAGCAAGCTGCTTTAGAAAGTTCCTTTATAGCTATCCTAGATCTAGTCTCTAGTATTAATTATCTTCTTTTTTAAATACTAATATTACTATTAAAATATATTTCTAACTAACTGCAGTAAGTATAAAAAACTAGCAGGGAAAGCGCTTTACTTCTCTTAATAATATAAGCCCCTAGTCTTTTTACTTTTAATAGTATGCTTACTGCCTTTAGCAGTAATTTAATATTATTTTTAACTACCCTGCTTTAGCTAACCTTAAGTAGAAAGTATATATTTACTATATTACACCTTAATTTCCCTTTACCTTTACTACTATTAAAATTATCTTTCTCCCCTTAATACTAGTTAATAGGCATTTAAGTTAATTTGCCTTACTAACTGTTATTTATAATATAAAAAGTGGATATTTATAACTTAAAACTCCTAAATAACTGCATTTAAATATTATCTTTATTAACTTTATCCCTCTCTTACTCTCCTTCTCTTACACCCTTATTTAATATATCTGCACTAGCTATAAGGCTGTTTAATAATAGACCTAATGCTACTATTTTACTAGTTACTTTATTTAATAACTAGTTTAGTTATTTATTTAAATGCCTATTAAATACTATAGCTTTATAAAGCACCTCTTTAAGCAGTATTAAAGACTACTAAAAGATTATATATATTAGCTACTTTAACCTAGGAGTAGATAATAATACTATTAATAGTAATACAGTTATCTAAAATATAGTTAATTAATTTATAAAAAGCATTTAAGATAATGCTATTATTAATAAGCGTTAAGGCTATATTATATTAAACCTTCTGCAGCTTTTATATAGACTAGCACTTTATTAATAAGGTTTCTTATTACTTCTGCAGGAAAAGCATTAAATTAAACAGTCTATTAATAACTAGATTACTGCACTAATAAAATAATTCTAGTTAAACTAAGTAAATATAGTAACCTAGCTTATAAAGTAATAGTATATAAATAATAACTATTAGGCTAGTCTAGATATCTGCCTATAAGCTATAAAATTCTTCTGCCTAGCTATAGCAGTAAGGTTTACTATTAATAAATAGTAACTCTTATAATTATACCTTTATATTAGCCTATTACTTTATAAGCTTATTCTTAAACCTTATAAAACTATATCTAAAAATAACTACCTAAAATATCTTAAAAATAAACAGTAAGCTAGAACTTTAGCTTTAACTGCACTTACTAATAGTAATCTAGTTTAACAGTTCCTTATAAATATACTATAAATAACCTAGATGTTATATAATAAGCACCTGCTTACCCTTCTATCTGCCTCTTTTACTAATGCCTTAATAAATTAAGGTACTTACTATAGCAGTAATTAAATAAGATAATAAGCTTTAAACTAGTAACCTACTGGCTAATAGTTTAAGCAGAATATGTAGGGAGGTATTACTTAATTCTAGCTATATATAAAAGGCAGCTAAATATAATTTTAATATAGTAAAGGCAGAAATAATTTTAAATAACTATAGTATAGTTATAGCTATAAAGATATTAAGCATAAGTGATTTTAAAAGGATAGAAAATATTAAAATAAATAACCTAATAACTAAAATTAATAATATTACTACTATTAGTTAAGGTTTTTAGGCAACTTTATATACTTTAAATAAGCAGAAGATATTTATATTAATATTAAGGACCTAGTAGTAAAGAAAATAAAATTAAAACTTAACTTTTAAGGATATTAAATAGTTAAGAAGTTTAAATAGTCTAACTATAAGGATAATATAGCTAAGAATAAGACTATTTTTACCTACTTTATTTATAAACTATTTATAATATTAAACTAGCCTAGTAATTACTAAAGTAGTAGGACTATTTTACCTTTCTAACTATATTAATATTAAAAACTAGTAGATAAAGTTATCTTAAAGGCGCTAATATATATATACTATAAATACTAAAAAGAATTCCCCT